TTTTCGATATTACTGCGACGCCAGGATGTTTTTTTTTGGGGGGGGGGTGATTGGCCGGCTTGGACCTAGCTAGACTCGGCCTCGCTGAAAACCAAGGAAACTGGATCCAACACTTTTTTGGTCGGTGGGGCGAGAGCGAACCTCTTCCGCTAAAAGCTAGGCGGGCTACGCGCAGCTCTAATTAGGGAGACAGGGCACAGGCGGGCGGGGCCTCGGGCGGCCAGGGAGGGCGGGGCCCAGGGTGCAGGCGGTGCCGAAGCATAAAAAACTGGATCCAAAACATGGGCCGACTGTCTCTCCATGTCCGGGGCCGCTGAACTCACCGCTTCCCGGCAGGCGCGGAGGCGGGGGGGGGGAGGAGGAGGAGGAGGAGGAGGAGGAGGAGGAGGAGGAGGAGGAGGAGGAGGAGGAGGAGGAGGAGGAGGAGGAGGAGGAGGAGGAGGAGGAGGAGGAGGAGGAGGAGGGGGCTCGGGCGACCGCTCTCCGAGGGTCGCGGGTGGCGAACGCAGCGCGCGGCCGACGCCTCGCATATGCCGGCGACGCCGACCTGCTGGGCCAAGCGAAGCCTTCTATAGATGCGGGTGGTCTCGCCACCAGCGGCGCTCTGAGAGGCGATTCCGAAGGCGACTCCAGCGTTGCATGGGGACGAGGGGGTGGCGCTCGAGGACTGCTGCTCTCCACTCGCATGGGACTGCATCCACGCGCGGAGACGACTGCGCAAACGCCGCAACTGCAAGGCGGTGCTGGAGGTGGCCGAGGGCGGGATGGCTTCCGAGGGGCCCTTGAAAACATTAGCCCAGCGGAGCTGGGCTTGTCTGCCACGGTTTCCAATGAAAGGGGACGGGGGCTTGAAACGCTCCAGCCAGCTCTCGCACCGCGGGGGCCGACCACTCGCGATGGAGGACGTCGAGGTTGAACTGGGTGCGATCCCTGCCCCCCTCGCAGGCTACCCGAAGGGCCTCTTCCGCCGCGCGGCCCGCGCGGCCCCGGCCCGTGGGGGCAGCGGGCCCGGGCCCCGCGGGCCGAGCGGGGGGGGGGGGCGGGGGGCCCCTGAAACTCGAGGAAGTCAAACGGGAAAGCTGAAGGTGGAGGGTGGCAGAAACAGGGTCGTAAGTGGCCAGCCCCGAGTCGATGGCAACTTGGATCCGACCAACTGCCTGCGCTATCCCGGCCTCGACAAGGAAGTGGTCGTGCATCTTGGATCCTGCAGTCGAGCGGCAAGTGCCGCATATATGAGAGGGAAGCAGTCTTTGGGGCCCCGAGCCCCTGTGCACATGGGAAGAAGGCAGGGTCGAGGGCTCCGGATTGAAATCTTCACGCACGATGCGCGGGGCCGAAACAACTGTCCACCTTGGGGGCCACTGAGGCCCGGAGGTCCTGATTGAAAACGCTCAGTCCAACGCGGTCCTGAAGGTGAACCGACGCAACGTAAGACGAACTTTGCCCTGGGAGGTGAATCAAAACTCCAGTCGCGCGGCTCGCCTTAAGCTGGGCGCCGACATCGGGGGCGTGAAACCCCGAGCAAGCACGGGCGATCACGGACGCGCCAGCTGAGGCTCTTCCGTTGGGCCCCACGGTACCTGGTCCAAAATGTGACTCCCAACCGTTTCGAAGACCGAGCCTGCGCTTTGCGTGTGTCCTCGTCGCTGGTGAGCGTGCGCTCCTGACGCGTCGCAGCGTTGGCTGCGGTGGTGGCCAGGAAAAGCTCCATCGATCACCGTGAGGTGCAGTTTGCGCTGGCGACGTGCGCGAGGCATCCAAAACGGGGCAGGAGGGTTGGATCGTGGGGTGGGTGGGAAGGGGGGGTGAAGGTGGAGTTTGTCACCGCGGGCAGGTTGCCCGCGTGCTGGCTTGCCTCCAGGTGCCCCATCCGCCGAACTCGCCCCGCGCTGCGCGGCCTGACGGGCCTGGTCGGGAGCGTTGGCAGGATCGGCAGGCGGGGCAGCCTCTGGCGGAGCCTCGGGGCAGCGCCTGAGTCCCCGGGGCTGGCAGGCGCTGGAGCACGGGGCGAACCAGGCACAGGCGTGGCAACGCCATCGCGAGGATCATGGGCGGGACCTTAGGCGCCAGGTGCAGCGCGAGCTCCCGCGGCATCCGCGGCGGCGGGTGGTCCAGCTTCGCGAGGCTGTGCTGGCCCAGGGGCAGCTCCATGATCGGTGCAGCGGCGTCACCTCTTCGCTTCTTGCTGAGGAGGCGCGCCTGCTGCTCCGCCTGCTCCGCCTTGGGCTTGGTGGCCCTGTCTTTGAGCTCGCCGAACAGCCTGGAGCAGGTGTCCTTGATGGTGGTGGCCAGGAGCGCCTTGCGGGTGGCAGCCTCCTGGAGGTCGCGCTCTTCCACATCGACGCGCTCGGCGAGCCCGAAGAAGTCGTCGTCGTCAACGTTCAAGCTCGTGAGTCGGCCCTCATGGATGTCCGTGATCTAAGCCTCGGACGCCTTCGGGCATGGCGCCATGTTGGCGTGCAGTTGGGCCACCGCCTGATTGTACTCAGCGTCATGGTGGTCGAGCTCAGTGAGAGTGGTCTCTGGCTGCTCTTGCTTGGTCGCAAGCTTCTGCTCTAAGCCTCGAGCGGCCTTGCGCTGGCGGTCCAGCTCGCCTTCCCACCGAACGATCTCCTTGTGGGCGGCGTCGGCTCTCTGCTGGGGCGGGAGGCCTCGCGGGCCTTCGCCAGCTCCTGGTTGGCCTGAGCCACGAAGGCTGCGTTGCCCGCCTTCTCCGCCAAGCGCCCTCCGCCGCCCGCGTGGCGTCAGGCTTCAAGCCACGCGCGTCCAGCGGCTGGCGCGGGATGGGGCCCGCAGCCTGCTTCGCCATTCCGCCCAGGCCCCGAGAGGAGACGCTGGGGTGGAAGGGCTTGCCCACCTCTGCCAAGGCATCCGGAGACTCTCCATCAACTGTCGTCTTGAGCTCTGTATCCGCCATGGCCTCTGCCTTAGCCGCAGGAGGCGGAAGCGTTGCAGGCGATAGCGTTGGCCACCACATCGGCGCGGCACAGGCGGGGGGCGGCGGCGCAGCCGGAAGCCAGCACCAAGCAGACTTGGCGACATGGGCGCCGGGGAGCGTATCACACGGCAGCCGTGTGCCAGCCACAAGCGCGGGTGAAGCCTCTGCAGCAGCCTCGTCGCCACACCGGGCGGCACCTGGAAGCACAAGACGAACACCAGCAAGACCAGGGACTTGAAGGACAGCGCAAGGACGCCGCTGACCACGCACCGCGGCCGCAAGCGTCGCTACTTCGGCCATGATAAGCGGCTGCTGCAACATAGCCCTGCGTTAAGGGGCGGCCTCTGCAAGCAGCGCCCGCCGGAGACATCTCGTGACGCGCGGCCGCACCTGGACATCAGCAGGCAGAGCCATGGTAAGGGCACGGCGGGCCTGCGACACGCCGAGATCGGTGTGGCCACCGCGTCTGGCAGCTGTCCCGACAAGGTTCGCCGAAAAACCTCGGCCTGGGACGGCTGCTTCAGCCAAAATGGCTACGGGAAAGGGGAGGGAGGGAGGGAGGGAAGAAAGGAAGGAAGGAGGCAAGGAGGGAAGGAGGGGAGGAGGGAAGGAAGGAAGGAGGGAAGGAGGGAGAGAGGGAAGGATGAGGAGGGGGAGGAGGAGGAGGAGGAGGAGGAGGAGGAGAGGAGGAGGAGGACGATGCGCAAGAGGAGCAGGAGGAGGAGGAGGACGAGGAGGAGGAGGAGGAAGAGGAGGAGGAGGAGGAGGAGGAGGAGGCGCAGGAGGAGCAGGAGGAGGAGCAGGAGGAGGAGCAGGAGGAGGAGAAGGAGGAGGAGGATAAGGAGGGAGAACGATCTGGCTTCTGGGAAGTCCACAAGGTTTCTGGCAATTCTACAAAGGTGGTTGCTGGTTCTGGGCCAGGCAATCATCCTCCTCCGCTTTCTACTCCTCTGCCTCCCTTCTTCCTCCTCCCTCCATCTCCCTCCCTCCCCCTCCTCCTCCTCCGCCTCCTCCTCCCCTCCTCCTCCTCCGCATCCTCCTCCTCATTTCTCCTCTTCCTCTTCATCCTTCTCCTCTTTCTCGTCAGTCCTCCTTCGGCCCCAAGGCTTCCCAAATACTGCCGTTCACCCCAGATCGATCGAGGTACCTGCATGACAGAAGACCGAGTCGAACTCCACACGCGGAGGAGCGAAGCGGCCCTTCTGAGACTGCAGGATCGAACCGCTGGATGCCACGCGCAGAAGGGCCCGCACCACCAACACCGAGTCGTAGACGGCCCTGGAACTCGTGCTACGTGCTGAGACGAAGCCATAATGAAGACAACACCGGACGAAGATACATCGGGGATCTCTGCGAGCCAGCGGGTCAAAGAACCCAGACGTGCGACGTCCAGATCTTGTTCATACGCGGTTCCCAGAAGTCCCGACCCGTTCCTCAGGGCCGGCTTTTCATCCCGAATCGGTTCTTGATGGTCCCGGGCCCGGCGAGGGCCCCCCAGAGGCCGAAACACAGCGAAAACCATCCCGTCCTAAATATACATGAATGTTTTTTAAACATTGTCTTAAACCATGCGAGCGTGTCTGGGAAGATGGATTGCGTTCGCCGCGGCCAGTTCCGCTGCACTCCGGCACGCGCCGAGAGCGTTCTGTGAGCGCGCCGCCACGGTGCCCTCGGCCTGCGCCTGCCTGCGCCGTCTCTGCGCGGGGCCTCTCGAACCAGAGCTGCCCGCCAGGGCCCCGGAGCCCGGGCCAGGGCAGACTGTCCCGCCGTTGTTGTTGTTGTTGTTGGTGGTGCTGCTGTTGTTGTTGTTGTTGTTGCTGTTGTTGTTGCTGCTGCTGTTGTTGTTGCTGCTGTTGTTGTTGCTGTTGTTGTTGCTGCTGCTGCTGCTGATGTTGTTGTTGTTGCCCCGTTCGGGACGATTCGGGCACCCCCCAGAAGGCTCCTGGCCAGGCGCAGCTGCTGGAGCGCATCCCGCGGCAGGAGCACCTCCAGGACCAGCCGCGCACGCCCGACACACGCCCGAGGAGGCCTGGGAAGGCCCCTCCGCCCCGCCCCGCCCCGCCCTCGAATCTGAGGCAGAAGTTCTTCAGCATGGCGCGGGGGTACTCGAACTCGCCCGCCTCGCCGACGCCCGACCCGAGCCCGACGGCTAACGCGTCCGTGAAGGCGCCCTCGGCCTTCTTGGCCTCGGGCGCGGCCGACGGGGGCGTGCCGCGCGCAGCGCCACCTACGGCCAGCGACGACGACCACGACGACGACGACGACCACCACGACGACGACGACGGCCGACGACGACGGCGACGACGTCGACGACGACGACGACGACGACGACGACGACGACGACTGCGGGCCAGGGAGTATACAGTGAAAACATATAGTAAGGACGTGTGGCAAGGAGGCAAGACCCTTGGAGGCCGAAGTTGAAGTATCCTGGCCCGCGAAGACTGCTAGGGACGGGCCGCAGAGGCCGAGGCAGGCAAGGGCCCAAGGGCACCCTTGAAAAAACTGCTTGTCCTTACTATGCGCGGTGACTATAACGAGGCCGATCCGGTTGGGGAGGCCCACCGAGTGGTCTTGCGGCCGGGCACCTCTGGCCCGGCGTGTCGCGGCGGCGCCCCCCTCCCCGCCCCCTCTCCGCTCTGCCCCTTCCCTTCCGTGCCCGCGCCTGCTTCGGCGCGCCCCGCCTCTTGGCCCGACTGGCGCCTGACCGCTTCCGCCCTCCTCTGGTCTGCCTGAGCATTTCCCGAGCAAGTGTGATACACAAGAACAAGTGTGATAAATCAACCTGCTTTCTCATACTTGTTTATCTTATCGCACCTGTTCGGATGTTTCTTTATCACCCTCGTTTTGTTGTCACACTTGTCCTGATGTTTGTTTTTCACACTTGGGTGGGGGGCTCAGGGTGAAATCCATGTAGGTTTCCGCACCTCGCAAATCAATCCGTCTCGTGATCCACTTTTTGCAGTTTCAAGCCTCGAACATCCATCGAAACGGCATTTCATATTCCTTCCGAAGGGCCCGGTCCCTGTCTAAATTAACCTTAGATTTTGCAGCCTTCGCAACAATACTGCGCTTGCTCGACGCTGAAGTGAATCGCTGCGCTTTGGCTACGTTGAGAAAAACCAATGCTTCTGCAGGAGACTCGGACTCGAGGTACGAAGCGCAAGTCATCTTCTGGCTGTTCTTTGAGCCTGAAGCAGAATCGGGCGTGACCCCCTACAGGGGGAATTGGGGCGAAAGCTGAAGAATACCCAGAACAACAAAAACCCAAAAACAGGAAAACAACTCAACAAACTCGTCCCCAGACTATTTGTTTATAACTACTTTTGAATACTCCCCCGTGTAAAGGGACAGGCCCGACTAAAGTTGAGCCGGGCCAGTCCCTCTACAGGAGGAAAATTCAAGCATAGTAAAACAAATAGTCCGGGGACGATCTTTTGACGATTTTTGCCCCCCTGGGGAGATTATTTTTTTGAGGATTGTTACCTAACAGCGAGATAGGTTTCTAGTAGGGTCAAAAGAGAACATCATGACGCCCCAGGGGGGTCTGGGCGCGATCCGGGGAAGTGCCGGGGACTTTTTTTTAGCCAACAGTTGCACACTTCGTGGTCTTAGAGGTCCCAGAACTCCACTCCCGGGCCACATTCTGAATGCCAGGAGCCAACTGTAAGCCACTTCGTGGTCTTCGAGGTCCCAGAACTCCATTCCCGGGCCACATTTTGAATACCCGGAGCCAACTGTATAGGCCACTTCGTGGTCTTCGAAATCCCAGAACTCCATTCCCGGGCCACATTTTGAATGCCCGGAGCCAACTGTAGGCTACTTCGTGGTCTTCGAGTTCCCAGAACTCCATTCCTGGGCATGATTTTGAATGCCCGGAGCCAACTGTAGGCCACTTCGTGTTCTTCGGATTCCCAGAACTCCATTCCCGGGCCACATTTTGAATGCTGAGGCAGGCTGATGCTGAGGCTGAGGCAGGCTGAGGCTGAGGCAGGCTGAGGCTGAGGCCAAGGCTGAAGGCAGACTGAGGCTGAGGCTGAAGGCAGGCTGAGGCTGAGGCTGAGGCAGGCTGAGGCTGAGGCTGAGGCTGAGGCTGAGGCAGGCTGATGCTGAGGCAGGCTGAGGCTGAGGCTGAGGCTGATGCAGGCTGAGGCTGAGGCAGGCTGAGGCTGAGGCCGAGGCTGAAGGCAGCTGAGGCTGAGGCTGAAGGCTGAGGCTGAGGCTGAGGCTGAGGCAGGCTGAGGCTGAGGCTGAGGCTGATGCAGGCTGAGGCTGAGGCAGGCTGAGGCTGAGGCCGAGGCTGAAGGCAGACTGAGGCTGAGGCTGAAGCAGGCTGAGGCTGAGGCTGAGGCAGGCTGAGGCTGAGGCAGGCTGAGGCTGAGGCTGAGGCAGGCTGAGGCTGAGGCTGAGGCTGATGCAGGCTGAGGCTGAGGCAGGCTGAGGCTGAGGCCGAGGCTGAAGGCAGACTGAGGCTGAGGCTGAAGCAGGCTGAGGCTGAGGCTGAGGCTGAGGCAGGCTGAGGCTGAGGCTGAGGCAGGCTGATGCTGAGGCAGGCTGAGGCTGAGGCTGAGGCTGATGCAGGCTGAGGCTGAGGCAGGCTGAGGCTGAGGCCGAGGCTGAAGGCAGACTGAGGCTGAGGCTGAAGCAGGCTGAGGCTGAGGCTGAGGCAGGCTGAGGCTGAGGCTGAGGCAGGCTGATGCTGAGGCAGGCTGAGGCTGAGGCTGAGGCTGATGCAGGCTGAGGCTGAGGCAGGCTGAGGCTGAGGCCGAGGCTGAAGGCAGACTGAGGCTGAGGCTGAAGCAGGCTGAGGCTGAGGCTGAGGCAGGCTGAGGCTGAGGCTGAGGCTGAGGCAGGCTGATGCTGAGGCAGGCTGAGGCTGAGGCTGAGGCTGATGCAGGCTGAGGCTGAGGCAGGCTGAGGCTGAGACCGAGGCCGACGGCAGACTGAGGCTGAGGCTGAAGCAGGCTGAGGCTGAGGCAGAGGCAGGCTGAGGCTGAGGCTGAGGCAGGCTGGTGCTTAGGCAGGCTGAGGCTGAGGCTGAGGCTGATGCAGGGTGAGGCTGCGGCAGGCTGAGGCTGAGGCCGAGGCTGAAGGCAGACTGATGTTGAGGCTGAAGCAGGCTGAGGCTGAGGCTGAGGCTGAGGCAGGCTGAGGCTGAGGCAGGCTGAGGCTGATGCTGAGGCGGGCTGAGGCTGAGGCTGAGGCTTGGACTGCCGTTGCCACTGCGACTGCCATCGCGAATGCGAGTACGACTGCGAGAACAGCAGAATTCTACAACAGGGTTCCCATCTGAATCTTAAGGGGAATGCTTCCAGATATGCTCCTACACATCGATGTTCGGTTGCTTTGCCGGGATTTTTTTTGTGTTCGCCCAACGTCCCCCTGTAGGGGGGCACGCCCGACTTAAGACTACACCCTCTGCCCCCCGCCCGAAGCGAGAGCGTGCTCGGCCTGCGCCTGCGGATCCCCCCCCGAAGAAGCCGCGGCGGCGGCCCCTCGGCGCCGCGCTGCGTGCCCGGCATGCGGCGGACCTTCGCTCCACGGGCACGGGCCCCCGACGCCCTGCCCCCGCCTCGTCGTCGACCCCCGGGGGCCTCGGCGCAGGTCGGGCGTGTCTCAAGGGGCCCTGGGACACACAAGGAGAGAGACACAAATCATAGGATTCCCCATACTTTCCAAGATTTTCCTGGGTGTTCGTCTTCCCCCCCACTTCCCATACATCGGCGCTCCGAAAGTTTATTCCGATTTGAGAGGCACGGCGCCGCGCGAATGCAGCGCAAACGCAATGCTGGAACGGCGCGACAATGCATGCCCCGTGGACACGCGAGAGCAGCCGCGCCCCCGCGCGAACCCCGATCCCGCGCGGAGCGCGTTCCCGTTGACAATGGCTCACCCGGGACACAGTTCCTTGCGCAGGACGTCCTGAGGTGTCTGCCCATCGGCAGCTCCTTAGGACGAGGCCCGGGACCACCGAGAAACCGTTATTGATAGGAAGTTCTAGGCGGTTTGCCCATGCTCGGTTTCTTCGGAGCGGGCCCGAAGACCTCGAAAACGGTGTTTTTGCAAGGGGTCCCAGGCGGTTTGCGCATTTTCGGGTCGTTCGAACAGGACCTGAATTTTTGTTGGGCAGAAATCCTATAGGATTTGGCCACTTTCAGGTTGGCCGATCAACTTTTCGGGTCGGCGCATGACCGAACCCGAAAGTTTTTTTCCAGGAGGTCCGATGCCGTTTGCTCATTTTCGGGTCAGTACACCGCTTGGGACTTACAATTTTATATTGGGAAGAGCCCGATCCCGCGACCCCGGGCGGGGGTTAGGCTCTGCCCTTGTATTGTACTGGGCCCCTCCGGCCAAACGGGGCGCTGGACTGCCCATCGGCGCGCCGACTCTGCCCTCGCGACATCGCCACCATCCGCCCTCGGGCCCCGCGAGTCTTGTCCCGCGCGCGCCACCCCAGATGGCCGCGGCCGGCACGGTGGCGAAATTGGGGAAGCTTTCGGATCGGCGCAGTATGTTCCCCTATTTTCTGGGGGGTCGACGATGAATTGTGCCTGTGTGTTTCTTCTCCTGCAGAGTGTCCCCCTAGAGGCGGATATTTGCACGAAAAATAAAGAAAACCTCCAACAGTGCCCAACACATGCTCAAAGATGGTTCACAAATCGTCCTCCGAGGCGCGCGCCATCGCTCGGGGTGTGCCTCGACGGCCCTCGCTCGCCGAGAAGGTGCACACGCCCGAGCGGTGCCGAGGGTACCCAGAGCCCCTCGAGCAACGAAAACATCATGACGGGAGGCTCTTCTCAATGTTTGGCCTCGGGGGCCCTCACCAGGCCTCGGGAGCGTCAAAAAACGACTCAGGATGCAAAGCCGGTCATGGGGAAAGGGTCGGGACCTCTGGGGTTCGACGTAACGAACAAATCATTACGTCGGGGGTCTGGGTATGGAGACCCGGTCGCCAGCATGGGGCCGAGCGGCTCCACAGGTAGGCTAATTGCTCGCAGGAGTAACCCCTGCCAAGAAGGGACCTTCGGTGCGCGGACTGAGGGGGGCGCAAGGTGGCCAGATCCGAGCGCGCAAGACCGCATCGCGCTCAACGATCGGGCGGATCCCGATGGGCCCGCACCAAAGGTCGCTTCCGGCGAAAGGCAACTCTTACTCGGCGGCGAGCGAGGGGGGGAAACGAGAAGGG